AGACTCACAGAAAACGAACTATGTTGCCAGGGGAAGGGATAGTTGGGGAGCTTGAGGTGGTCATGTACATACTAATGTATTTAAAATGGATAACCAACAAGGAGCTATTGTATAGTACAATATTATGTGGTAGCCTGGATGGGGGAAGAGTTTAGTGGAGAATGGATACATGCATATATATGGTTGAGTCCCTCTGCTCTTCACCTGAAACATTTAATCAGCTATGCCCCAATACAAAATAAAAAGTTCAAAAGAAAAAAAAAATGCTGATGTTTAGCATTTTTGGCAATATCATTGGAGCCTTGGAATAAAGAGACTTTTAACACATATTTAGTATTCAAGTAGTTTGAAGTTAACAAAAGGACTAGAGGCATCCACGAGACTCACTCATAGATACATATATTACACACTCTTTCATTACTTTATCAGGTATTTGCATTAGAGAAAGAAAATTTTAAAAAAGCAAAATAATTAGAGTTGTCCTGAGTCTTTTGACACTAACTCAGTTATCTAAGACCTTGGAGGTGTCTGTCTTGCTTCCCTTCACTAATGAAAGATGGACTATCACCAACTGGAAATGTAAAACATACCCTAGTAACTTGACTCTGTTGGATTTCTTTATTCAAAAATGAAAATAGCAGCAACAAGTTTGACTTGGTCTAAATCACTTTAGAAGTGTGTTCTTTCTTTTCTTTTTTGAAATTTTTTTTTTCTTTTTTGAGACATTTACCTAAATTTCCTGAAATTTTATGTGTACTAGTAAACAGAAATAGTATCATTACATGCCTTCATTACTTGAAAATTTTGCAAATAGTTCTAAAACCAACAACCTCTATCTTCCTCCACTTCAGTCCTACTCTCCAGAATATGCCCAAGAAACTGGCAGAAATAAAAACAATGGTTGTAAAATTAGCACTTATTCCACATATCAGTGTGAGGTAGACATGAGGAAAGGTCAGGATAAGGGTTATTCTGAAATGTTATTTTTATATCCAAATCTATACAGTTGAAATGTTTTGAAGAAGAGAAGGATATGTCACCTCATAATATGTCACATTGGCATACTGAGTATTTTATGTTAAAGTTTCTTAAGAAATAGCCAGTGCAAGGGGGACATTCTGACAACACTTGTCTCCCTGAAAGCAAAGCAGTATATGAATCTTCCATGTGAAAAGAACTCTCCCTGTACCAGGAGGATAGAAACCATCATTATCACCAGAAATAGAGAATTTAGGGGCCAAGAGGCTGTGTAACACTACCACATTACTTACTCAATAATTTGATATTCTCAGCCCACACCTCTTTGCTTTACAAATTCTTCACAGATTTGTAGTTTTCTTGTCTAAATGACAGCTCACTTTGGTCATTTCTTTCAGTTTCTCTTTTTTTTTAATGAGACTGCTTCACATGCATTATTAAATTTGTTTTTTTTCTTCTGTTAAGATGTGTTGTGTTCATTTAATTTTTAGGCCAGCCAAAGAACTGCAAAATTAAATAGTGAGACCAGAAGCGGGAGCTCTCACAGTCTGCAAGAACAGCATAGCTCATCACCTCTTCTATTCTGGCAACAACTCAACCAAGAAAAGCCATGGTCTCTTTATTTACTATAACTCTCTCAACTTCTTTTTTTTTTCTTCCCCTTCTCTTTTCCTTCCCTTGCTTTGTGGGGACTTGCATATGGCTCATCATGGGTTGTAGACGCCAAACTTCTTATCCCAAATAGACCTATTTTTGTTGGAGAAGTATTTGGCAGTCTATTTATTTTGGTTCAACAAATATGTATAATATAGTATCTTGTTACGAAAGATAGCTAATATCCCTTCTCAAGATTTTTTGATGTGAAAATGTGGAATAGCACTGCTATTGATAGAATAATTCAAAACAATATTCTTGCTATGAGTCTTAATTAAATGTAAACCTTTTCTTTCTGACAATTATTTACAGGCTGTTGAGTAAAAAAAAAAGAGAGAAAGAGTTGGCTTAAAACTATCTATATATAGCAATGAGTCTGATTTTTTTGTTTGTTTTAGGATAACTTTAAAATTCTAATACAGACTGTATCAGAAGTTTCAACAAAAGGAAACCCCTGATTTTTGTACTTCTCTGAACTTCCTTTGCTAGATTTTTTTCTCCTTTTCTCTAGAATTTATCATTGCCTCTCCTCATTGTCTATTCATATTTAAAATAAATGGTGTGGGTACTAATGTTGCAAAATTTCTAAATAAAATAAGTGACAAGTTTTTTTAATGTCGGTCTCTCAAAACTCTTCCAATTTATTTAAGAATAATAACATGCTCATATGCATAAAAAGAAACCACACAACTACATGAAATTTGAATGATTCCTTTTGCAAATCAATCAAATCTTTGTACTTTAAGCAAAGCCAGGCCAATGCTGAGTAATGTTTAGTAATTTATCATTAGACTTTTAGCCTCTTAGAAACCATCTATTTTGAAGTCCAAATTAATGGCTCATATTTCAATTCTCCTTATGACTCTAAGAGAATATGTAGGGTTTTAATGGACACAGTTTACATTGTACATTAGTTAACATCAATACAATAATAAAAAAGACTATAAAAGAATAATTTAAAATATATAAATATCATTATTCTACATAAATATAAGAATATAAATTGTATACATATAGATAGATATATCTATGATGTTGTTTTTGTTTTAGTTGCAAAGTCATGTTCAACTCTGACTCTTTTGCAACCCCATGGACTATAGCCCACCAGGCCCCTCTGTCCATGGGATTTCTCAGGCAAGAATACTGGAGTGGGTAGCCATTTCCTTCTCCAGGAGATCTTCCCAACGCAGGGATCAAACCCATGTCTCCTGCATTGGCAGGCAGATTCTTTACCACTGAGTCACTAGGAAAGCAGAATTAGGATTTGAATTTGGACAATGTGGTTCTGAAGTTTATGGTTTTACCACTATACTACACTCCTTGCCTCTCATGAGAATCCTGAAATTAGCTATCAATTCTATGGCAAAAAACAAACAAAAAAACTTCAGGACAGTTGAATAAACTGTAGCATACCTAGATTTTGCTATATTATATATTTTTGAAAGGATATAATCTGAAAACACAAAAAATCATATAATTTCCTGTGTTTAGTATTCACATTTTGTATTGCATAATTTAAATTTATATAAACACTGCTGTTACAGATAAAGGGCTTCCCTGGTGGCTCAGATGGTAAAGAATTTGCCTGCAATGTGGGAGACTAGGGTTCAATCCTTGGGTCAGAGAGATCCTCTGGAGAAGGAAATGTCAACCCACTCCAGAATTCTTGCCTGGAGAATTCATATGGACAAAGGAGCCTGCTAAGGGATGCATTGTTAGGACTAAGTGACTAACACTTTCACTTTCATTACAGATAAAATCAAAACTTCATTCAACTTCTCACCAATTCCATTCCTTCCTTCCAAGGTTCCATGTATATCCTGTTATTTCATTAGTTTATCCTTGAAATGCCAAAAATTTCTCAGTCTTTCCCACTTATGGGTAGTCTAGCAAATTGGATTCAAATTGTCCCAGATATCTTCATAAATAGTTTAAAGTACACAGCAAGTCAGATGATTTATTTTATTTTATATTTCTTTTAAAAACTCATTTTAAATAACACAATAACAATTAGCTTTCAAATACATTCCTTAGCAATCTGACTTTTCTATAAACTTTAGTAGAGATTTTGAGTCAGAAAGGAAAATCGTAGCTTTTCTTCACATTTTCCTTTACATAGGAAAAAAAAAAAGTTTCAATGTTTTTGAGGAATTCTGAGGGGTTCTCTTTAATAGATTTACTTTTTCCTATATCTGCAGTTTTTACTCTAGTCTCTGCTACTGAGCCATAAGACAAACCACACTGAATTGGAAAACAAAGCAAAATATTTTGAATGAAAGTCTAGAAAACTGTCATCAAGAACTAGATCTCCAACTATAACTACCAACACAAGTATTCTACACACACACACACACACACACGCACACACACACACACACATTTATGTTCTTTCTACTGAAATATCTCTAAAAAAGAGAAAACATGGCCACTTAGTGACACTTGGTTGCATATAAGCTTGTTAAGAACAACTGGTGGAGGATATGTTTCCTTTTATTTCTTTTCTAAAACACTGTTGGAAAAACAACCGAGTTTCAGGGAAGGATAGATTTTAAGGACAGAAGGAATCTGAGTCTTTGATGATATACTTGAACTGTCAAATCAACCCTTGAATCACATAATTTTTAAGAATTTTATTAAAATAATGATGATAATAATGATAATAAAATTATACAAGAACCACTCTTCAGGTTTTGTTATTGCTGCCCACATATGAAGATCATGTTCATAGTAACTTATACATTATGAGCAACTAGTAATAAAAGATAAATGATTCAATAAGTGATTCAATAAATGATTCAACAGTTCTCTACTTTTAGTGTACTTTGAAGTTCCCTGGGGAGCTAATAAAAATGCAAGTTTTCCACTTCTACCTTCTGAAATTTTTATTCAGAGGGTCTGAGGTTGGGTCTAGGAATCTTCAGTTTTAATGCACTCCCAAGGTGATTCTGGAGAAGGAAGTGGAAACCCACACGATTATTCTTGCCTGGAGAATTCCATGAACAGAGGACCCTGATGGCTAACATCCATGGGGTCACAAAAAAGAGCCAGACACGACTGAGTGACTAACACTAAAGGTGATTCTGCTGTAGTTGTTCAGTCAATCATGCTTTGAGAAATACTTCAGTATGAGCTAAAAACAAATCATTGAAGTGTTTGAGTGAGTCCAAGACTGAAGAATACAATAAGTGGGAATAATCTTCCCATTCTATTCCACCCCATACCTCATCCAGAAGAATATAGTATACAAATTACACTGAGGGTGGGGCTATCTTGTTGAGTCTGTAAATTTATAGTGAGCACATACATTCTAGGTGAGTTCTGTATTTCATAAATTCAGAGGAGAGAAATAAGAGAAATTGATAACTCACATTAGCTTGGATGATGACAAAGTAGCGAGTCTTATCTTCATAGTTGAGCCTCTTCCTTAACACTACATTTCCAGTCAACATGAGTGGAATTTCAAAAGTGTCGTTGGAAGTCTGCAAATAAGATACACATCTGAGATCATTTGAACCTAAGATAGATTAGAGAATCTGATATTTCAGCTTAGTCCCCTTGAAAGTTATAGACAACATGTTTATCATCTAAAAACAGAATGTGAATGTCAGCTTCAGGTTTAATGTTCTTATTTTTGAAAACTTGTCATTCTAATCAGTAGGCCTTACTTTGATAATGATATCTAGGAACCTTACTTCTTGTGATAGAGTTACATATTATTAGAGTTACACATAGACAGCCCTGGGATATATCTAAATCTAGGCCCAGATGTCTGAAAATCTTTCCTATAACCATATTATCTTTTCACAATATTTTAATCACCAAAGAGTTCAGTTATTGCAATTTATGATTTATCATAATATCCCTTTATAACATTGGAGTCCATCCTATATTCTCACATTTTCTAGTCCTGTATTAAAGATATATAACTATTAACTTGAAACACTGTGTTTTTGCAAAAAAGAATGTGTTATAGGTTGTTTTTGTTTGTTTTTCCAAGCCTCATATCTGCTGCCTTTACACTAGTAGGGTAACATGTTACCTTTCTTGGTAACATGCAGTTCATAAGGGCAACCTCCAAAATGCCTCCAACCAGTGCTGCTCTGGTATTAGGAAGCCTCACTGTAAGACAATACAGTCATTCTTCAAGAGGATATAATTTATAAGACCTGTCTCTTATCCTTAAAGAGATTTTACATCACTTTTGTGTTTTAGTGCCATTTTGAAGACTGATAAAATAGTCTATCATTTATGACAACAAATCAGTTTTACTTTTAGCACTGGAACTTTTTTGGTTGACTGTTTTGTGTAGTGGTAGGTGGGTGTGAGATTGTGGACACCAGATGAAATACTCAGATACATGTTTCAGAAAAAGGAGTGGTGGGAGGAGGTGAGACAAAGCAGGAGAAAGAAAGTATAAGAAAGGAAGGAAGGAAAGAGAGAGAGAGAAAGAAAGTATATGCATGTGTGTGTGGGAGGAAGGTGTTCCTGTGTCTGTGTGTCTTTACATCCTCAGCTGACACAAGGGGAGTTACTTCGGAACTGAAATTTAATGTGAGAACAGTTGACTCAAATCCAATCTCCCATCTCAAGTTTATTGAGGGGAATGTAGGCAAATTACCCTTCAATATCTAGAGCCATGCTCTCTCCCTCTCCATCTTTACTTCCCTCCCTCCCTGACTCCCTCTCTTTCTGGTACATACACACACTCAGCACTCAATTAATGCATATTTTTTAATGATTTACTCTTGTGCTCATGTGATTGACTTTGCAAGTCTTCTTGGATACAGTCATTTAAAGAAGTAACACTTTAAAATACAAATATTAAAAAAATGTACCAAGTAGGATATTCACAACTAAAAACAGACATCTGACAGTTCCCCTACACTTTCGCCTATTCAAACATTGTGTGTGTGTGCTCAGTTGTGTCTGACTTTTGCCACCCCATGACTGAAGGACAGCAGGCTCCTCTGTACATGGAATTTTCCAGGCAAGAATATTGGAGTGGGTAGTCATTTCCTACTCCAGAGGATCTTCCCAACCCAGGAATCAAACTCACATCTCTTGCATCCTGCATTGGCAGGTGGATTCTTTACCACTGTGCCACCTGGGAAGCCCTGTAGGACTCTAAACTAAGCCAGGGAGTGTAAAAATGGTTTAATCTAAATATCTAATTTAGTTATAGGGGACACTTCAGTTAATAATTGCCATATACACTCTAAAACACAACTCAATATGCTGTTACAAGGCTATCAACTGTCTAAGACAATTACTACAGAGCCATGTATCAATTTTAAGTATAGTTATGAAATATGTGGTGGGTTTCATTTTTTTTTTTATTAGTTGGAGGCTAATTACTTTACAATATTGTAGTGGTTTTTGTCATACATTGACATGAGTCAGCCAAGGATTTACATGTATTCCCCATCCCGATCCCCCCTCCCACCTCCCTCTCCACCCGATCCCTCTGGGTCTTCCCAGTGCACCAGGTCCGAGCACTTGTCTCATGCATCCAACCTGGGCTAGTGATCTGTTTCACCCTAGATAATATACATGTTTTGATGCTGTTCTCTTGAAACATCCCACCCTTGATGTATAGAACAGACTTGTGGTGGGTTTCTTGCCAAAAAGCCACCTCATTCTTGGTGTCAGAACTTCATGAGTTCAGGTAACTGGTAGCTTTGTGCTTTAGGGGAGGCTATGCCTCTAAGCAGGGATTTCCAGGTGGCTCAGTGGTAAAGAATCCACCTGTCAATGCAGGAGACACGGGTTGGATCCCTGGGTCAGGAAGATTGCCTGGAGAAGCAAACGGCAATCCACCCAGTATTCTTGCTTGGGAAATCTCATGGACAGAGGAGTCTGGCGGGCTACAGTCCATAGGGTTGCAAAGAGTCGTACAGGACTGAGTAACTGAGCACAGAGACATATGCCCCTAAGTAGAGTGAGTTTTGACAAATCTACTCCAACCATGGAAATTCCACACCTTGCCAGTGACTGTTTTGGAAATGTACGTGAGATCTAATTCTAGATAATCTGAAGAACTTTTCTTAATTCTAAAGAGAGAGAGAGAGAGAGATGGGGGAATTTTTTCCCCTTTTTCTGCTTCTAGATGCTTCTATAAGAATATAAAACCTGGAAATGTCAGCAGTCATTTTGGAACTCCTAATACAGTTAATCTAGAAGTAAACAAAATGCTGAAAATGGAAGAGCAGAAAATAGAGAAAAGTCATTTCTGTGATATCTCTGAGTTGCTTAACAAATCCTGATGCCACCCCTTCTCTGAACAACCTGTTATGAGAGATAATCCATGACTTTGTTGGCAAAGTCACTTTAAATTGTTTTCTACTATTTGCAGCTGAAAGCACTTTGATACATGATTATCTCCTGTCTGTGTGTCCTCATCTTGTAGTCCCCTCTCTTTTCCATTTGTGCCATGACTCTTTACAGGTGACATTTGCTTTTAATTTTCTCCTGCCTAAACATCCTATTCCTCATTTCTCTGAGTTATAAATTCTATAAATCCTACTCAGTAAAATCTTCTTTGTCATCCAATTTAGGATTAAGTCTTTGATCTTATGATATATTGTTTTTTCCAAACAACATTTGTTATTTGTGTATTTTCTATTTTCCCTTACAGATTTCTCAAGGATCTCAGTCTATGATCTGGAGATACTTACCTTGATGTTTCCAGTCAAGTAACATAATGGATGTTTGTGACTCTGTTTTAGTTGACAATCATTATTTGTAGAATTATTATTAATATTACAGTTAGTAATTAGGGATTTTATTGCTTATTAGGGATTGTTGTTATTTCTCTGAAGAGTACTTTTTGGATGGAACATCCATCTTCACTGCAGCATGCAAAATCTTCTCAGTTGTGGTACATGGGCTCTAGTTCTCTGACCAGGGATCAAACTTGGGCCCCCTCCATTGGGAGTGTGAGTCTTAGTCACTGGGCCACCAGGGAAGTTCTTATGCTCCTATAACACACTTTTGATTAAACCTAATTCTTATTTTCTAAATCACTCTTTTATAGATATCTGAGATTTTCCATGTGCTAGGAGTTCCATCAATACTTATGTTCCAAGAAACATAAGGAGACTATCGGCTTTAAGATCAATGATGTTTATAAATTATTGCATATGAAAAGCCTTTGTGTTAAAATTAGCTAACATATTAATAAGCAATTATTTATGAAGTGTGCATTCTGTCTTGAAAAAGTAGAATAATAATCATGAGAAAAAGCAGAAGCAAAATGTAGGTAAATGCTTGGGATGCTCTTTATTTTTCCTCTAACAAAAAGAATATTGGAAAAAAAAAAAGAAGAATATTGGATTAGATCAACTCAAATAAATGCCCTGCTCTAATAACATGTCTAGAGTTCTACCTAAGGAGGGACGAAAAGAGCAAAATTGAGTAAGAAAATATAGTTGCTTTTTTTTTAATTGCTATCTGATAAGGCAATGGGACAATGTTTTTCAAAGTTTAGAGCATATAAGGGTCGTAGAAATGTATACACCATGGAATATTACTCAGCCATTAAAAAGAATTCATTTGAATCAGTTCTAATGAGATGGATGAAACTGGAGCCCATTATACAGAGCGAAGTAAGCCAGAAAGATAAAGACCATTACAGTATACTAACACATATATATGGAATTTAGAAAGATGGTAACGATAACCCTATATGCAAAACAGAAAAAGAGACTCAGATGTATAGAACAGACTTGTGGACTCTGGGAGAAGGCGAGGGTGGGATGTTTCAAGAGAACAGCATTGAAACATGTATATTATCTAGGGTGAAACAGATCACCAGCCCAGGTTGGGTGCATGAGACAAGTGCTCGGGCCTGGTGCACTGGGAAGACCCAGAGGGATCGGGTGGAGAGGGAGGTGGGAGGGGGGACCGGGATGGGGAATACATGTAAATCCATGGCTAATTCATTTCAATGTATGACAAAAACTACTGCAATGTTGTAAAGTAATTAGCCTCCAACTAATAAAAATAAATGGGAAAAAAAAAAGAAAAAAAGAAAAAGAAATGTATCACTTAGATTCACATTCCAAGCATCTATTCCTCCAAATTCCAGAATTCTCAAACACTCTGTATTTCTAACAAAATCTTGGGTAATTCTCAAGTAGAAGGTTTAGATTTTACTTTGAGAACAATAAACTAGAAGATAATAAGGATCAAGTTAAGTATATATGAGTTTTGGCATTTAATTGTGAACTCAATAGTGAGCTCCTGTAATACATTTTTAAAATATTTATTTATTTGACCGCATGAGGTCTTCGTCGAGGTATGTAGAGTCGTTTTGGTTGGAGCACATGGGCTCTAGTTCTCTGATCAGGAATCAAACTTGGGCCCCTTGCATTGGGAATGTGTCTCAGGCACTGGACCATCAGGAAATCCCTAAGCCCCTACAACACATTTTTAAGACGGACAAGTCTTCATTTTTCTTTATATTGGACTTAGTTATGTG